AAATAATAAATTATTTATGTATTATTAGATATCAAATACATATTATATATTATATTTAAGGATTTTTTATTATATAATAATGAAAAACATTATATATACACTGCATCAATAATTTGTATATGATTGGCACATCAGGGTAAAAGCTATATGAAATATGGTTATTATTTTACTATATGACATATATATATTGATAATTTAATATATCAGAACATGAATAATATATTAGGTATTGATATTTTTATTTTATATTATTCAATTCTACAATGAATTCATTAAATTACATATTTAATAAATATAAAAATACATTAATATATACCAAAAATATTACATATGTGTATATAGTATTTTCTTAGATTAATCATAATAATTAAAGGAAAATAAAGACAGAAGAAAAGATGACATATGAGACAATTCATATGTAAAACACCATTTATCTTACAGAAATAGTTAATCGAAATAAGATATAATAAAACAACATAGAAATTAATGGTTATATATTATTCTTTATAATAATATATATTTAAGTTATCATGAAAACAGATAGAACTTATATATTTATTTTCCCTAATGAAGTTTTGCATATTACTCAATTTTTAACATAATATTTGTATTACATGTAAATGTAATGAAATAATTTTATTATAATAAATATTTTAATATTATATAAAACTATATAATTTTATATTCGCATATTTAATAGGTAAACACAAAAAAAGACTAAAAAATAATTAATATATCTGATTTGCAATCTTTCTAATAGGGTGCATATTTTTTTATTTATATTTGTATTTTATTAGGATGTAATAAAAGACTAAGATCATAAATAAATTACGAAATAAATTTTTTGAGCCATTGAATGTATAAGAACATCAGTTTGTATTATATAATCAATAAAATATAATTAAAATATATTCTATACATAAAAATTAAAATGCAGTCCTATAGGACCAATATAATAGGGTTACTGCGAAAACAACATATATATAAAATATGCATATATCATCATAAATTAAATATAATGTTTTAGATTTGGTGAATATATAATTCTTAAATAAGTGGTATATAGCGTATATTTGGCTTATTCATTTAATTTTTTATGAACATATATCTGGATTATTTACTTTATTTATGAATTCTATATCAAACTTATTTTTACATTCCTAAATATTCGAACCATAATTATGAGAACAATGATTAGAAACAAAATGTCCTTTATAAATGAGTTTTTATAATCATTCCCATTCTGTTTGCAATAATTGCTAAGAATTTCTTCTGTAGAAAATGAAATAACATTACAATATATATTGAAAATATATTAATATGTAAATTTTGCATTCATATGATATTTGGTTAAAAATATTGTTGTAGTTTTATTACATTTATTCCTACGTAAAATAATAGATTTAAGTAGTAAATAAAAAAAAAACCTTTTCATAATATGATAAATTAAACATCTAAATATATGAAATAAAACAAAGTAAATTTATATATTTTATTATGTACATATAATATAGCACAAATACCAAATAGAATATTTGAAATTCAGCAATCTTAATTAACGTATGTATAAATTAAAAAATACAGTTCAACGATTTTATATTATTTTTTTATTACGTTACCATGTATATAAAGTGTAAATTAATTCTCTCACAGTTTTAAATAAATATATGTATATGATGACCTTCAGTTATATAATCTCATGAATAAATGTGTATTATATATTATATAATTTTCTATATTACAATGTATTATTAAAAAATTAGCTATAAAATTATAAGCAAAAACTGAAAAAAATACAAATAAAACCATCATAATATGCAGTGTTTTCAATTATGAATATTTATGATTCTTATTAAAATTTTTTTGACATATATTTGGAATTATATATATTTAGACAAACTAAATATGTCCCAAAATATTATTATATATATTCTTTTATTTAAATATATATAACAACATTAATATTATTTATATAGATTTAAAAAGAACTAATATAACCATCAAGTTTTGTTTCTTTTTCTATATCAAGAAAATTACGGAAGCTTACATTTTTTATAAAAACATATATAAGTATGAATATCGATAAAATATAAAAAAGTATTGAGCTGAAAATTATGTATGATATATCATATAGGAAAAATAATAGATAAAAAAATATATATAATTATAAGTGTAGATAATGTAATTATCATGTGTCTAAAATGAGAAATTTCTCATATGTTTTTATTAATATACATGCCCTTAACTGAATTATATATGGTACACATTCTATAAAACATTTTTTTTTGCAACATAATAATATATTTGTACAAAAATATTATATACTGTAGGTTTTTTACTTTTATATTTTTTCTGGCATTGAATTTTTTTTAATTATAATATGTATATTCTTATTCAAAAAATCTGTCTTTTATTGTAAATACAATAATGAGAAGTAATTTAACCATTTATATATAACTTATATTCAAATCTTCATACGTTATGCGGTAAATTTTGTAATTGAAAATAATAAAAAGAAAACAATTATGTAGCTTTGGTATTTTCATAATATTATTCATTTTATAATTAAATAAAATAGTTATTTAAGAACTATAGTCCAAAAGTAATATGTTCTAAGGGAATTAATTGTATCAATAGCCCCTTACAAAACAAAAATTATATTACATTAATGTATATATAATCTTATATATATTGTATTATTGTAAATAGAACAAAAATTTACATTTTATTTCCTATTTTTGTTTCCCTGAATATAATTCATTTTAAAAACCTTGTCGATTTTGATTAATTTATTAATCCTTTATAAAATATTATACACAAAATATAATTAAAATTTCTAGATTATTTCAATAATATATATAAAAACGTATATTTTTTTTTCTATGTTTTAATTTATTTTTCGTAATCATTCAATTATGCTAAAATATATTAATAATTATTTTATACATTATATATTATGGGACATCATATATGAGTTTCCCATTCTGATACAACATGGATATAGGGAGAAATAACATATTTCGAAGTTCAAAGAACTTAGTTATCTAATAACAAAAGATGGAATATATATTTACTTAGTAAATTATTTTTTTGATTTAATCAGAACATAAAAGGAAAACTTGTAATATTTAATAATTACTATTTATTTCTATAATTACTTCACACCATTTTGTAAGTAGTAGAGGTGATTAAATTTATATATAAACTGTTTAAATTATTGAAATGAATTTTTTGAAAAAATATATTCCTTCGCGATTTAGAACGCGTGAATATAAATAAAGGAAACAGGAATCCTACTCATAGAAAACAAAGAATCATGAATATAATTTTTTCATTTTAAAATAAAAAATAAAACGATGTATTCATATATAAAGAACGAAATTAACATTTGCTTTTAAATTATATAATAAGAGCATAAGATGTATGAAATATATGAACATTTAAAAAGTATTAATCTTTATTTTGGTATTTCATTTGTCATTGATCACCAGTTGTTACATTTTCTAATAAAATTGTACATAAGGTGCTAATATATAGTTTCTAATTTAGTTTTATTCAGATTTGTTAGAATTGCATTTGAATAAAGTTATAGTATAATATGTTCTTATATAGACATATTTTTTTCATTCCTGAACTATATATTCTTCTATTGCAATATACATGATAATATACATTCATTATATATAAAATTATTGTTATTTAAACTACATATTGTATTAAATTGAATTAATATATGTATTTACGCGGTAATAATAATTGAAAATAAATAATGATTAACAATACAAAAAATTTAAGGAAATTACAAACTACACGAATAGTTTTAAATACAATATGCTCTATTGATGTAGGTTAAAAGTAGCTGTAACTAATTAGGATTATATTCGTCTTATATATAAATAACCTCATTATATTATAGTTATGATAGCGTTTAATAAAAACATAGACAAGATTATAAAATATTTCACATAGAAGTCTTTGAATTAATTAATCTCTGCTTATATATTTTTAATTATATATAATAATTATAAATGACATTTAAAATAAATATTTTTTGATGATACCTATTAGGTATCATAAATATGAATGTATTTGTAAAATGTCACAATTATTCTTGTTACGAAGCAATAGCTACATATATACCTAATTAAATTTATTTTTATAGGTTTTTAATTGTTAATACGCATTTTATCTAATAAGGAAAATAAAAATATATATATATTTCTATGGGTTAATATTATATCCAATTAAAATAAAGTATAATAAAAAATATTAATACATATTATTATAACAAAAATATTATGATATGTATAATTCAAAATCACATATAATTTATTTCATATAGAATGTTAGAATTTTGTTATTAATATAAATAATATATAAATAATACTTCTTAAATATAATATGGAAATGGAGTATAACTTAATGAATTCAAAAGAAAAATTTTTTCTTTATAGAATTTTATTAAATTCATAGCGTGAACCAAAATAGTGAGAAATGTTTAAATAAGGTATTCAAATAATATCTTATTAATGTAAATTACATATATATAATTCAAATAATCATGTTGCGTATAAAATAAAAACCCTATAATATTTAATATAATGCATAAGGCCTATGAGACATTGCCTCATAAACATTATCAGTAGAAAATATATATTGAAGCTGTAATACATAAAATAATGTAACATATACAACTAAATAAACAGAATCATTAGTTTTACACCCATGTTTTAAATATCAAGCAATACATAAAATATGTAAAATTTTATAACATTTCCTATAAAATATACATAACCATATTTTATAAAAGATAATAAGAATGATATTTATATCATAAAATTTAAGTATAATAGACTAAACTACAAGCATAACTTCCTATTCCTAAAAAGCACTATGTATATGTTTACGAACTGTATTATTTTTTTTATATTATATTAGCAAACACATAGTTAAATATGCACTTTTTTTGTTGGTATATCACCTTTTGAGATTTGTTTATAATGCGTCGCATTATAAGGGTGTGTTTTTTATACATTATAAATTATTGTTTATATTAAAATATTACATTTCTTCTTAACATAATTATTTTATTTTTTTTATAAATAAATACACATATATTATCTTTTGTTGCACATTCATAGGCTGAGGATCTTAAAAAATTACCTACAAAAAGGAAGTACTACCTTTTTGATAATGCAGTAGAGAATTGTGATCATGTGGAATTAAAAAATAATATAAAGAGTATTACAGGTAGTTATACAGAACTTCAGAGCGTTTCTGACAAAATTACCAGATGCTTATGTTATGCATATAAAACAAATAAGACATTAGAATTTAGTAAAGATGACTGTGATTACCTGTATTTTTGGTTA